ATATTAGATTCTTTTCTGGAGGCAGCGTGGCCGAGTGGTTTAGGGCGCTGGTGTTGTAATCCGAAGGTTCCGAGTTCAAGGCCCCCACCCTGCCACTAGCGGGATTTGTTTCTCGGTAGTCCCGAGTTCAAATCCTGGCTCACACTTTGTAAATAGCCAACTGGTCTGCCTCCCGCCAGTTGGGATTTTTAGCTATGTTACGTTTATTTGAAATATTTGTTTCCTTAATAAAGTGTATTATCGTTTGTCTCACGATGTAGTGACTTGAGATGTAGATCCTGAAGAAGACTAGGAGTAAGCAGTCGAAACGTCGCGATCTACATCTCAAGTGACTACATCGTGAAACAAACGATAATACACTTTATTATTGCATCTACCACCATGAATAACAACAACCTTTTCCTCGACATTTGTTTCCTTTGTTTCAGTGGCATGCCTGCTAACTAGCTGAGCTTAGTGCTTGTATAGCTAAGTGCATGATCACTATAAAAAAGATGTACATTTACATTTGCTTCCTATATGGATAAAGCAGCAAGTTCCGTCGGCCTGTGGTTGATGCGGAGTTCATCTGAGCATGTGACATTTTTGGCCCAACAAGTAGTAGCCAATTGCAAAGTATTTAACGTCATCGAAGGTGACTTAGGGCTGAGGTGCAAACGCATGTGAAAGATCGCAGTAAATAAATACACAACGTNGGTCGTGCAGCTGCTGGTAATATAACACTGCTTTTCAAAAGGACATTGCATTTAAATAGTATTTTTGGGAAACGTTGTAAAAAATGCAACGTCTTTAGTTATATATAGCACATCGACTCCAGACGAGTCTCGAACCTTTCGCCTTTGGTCTCAAACTTTCGGAAGGGTATTTATTGGATCCACAGCCTGGCTCAGTTGCTGCGAATGATGTTTCAACCATACTATACCCGGTTAGTTCTATATGTGTGGTGTAGCTGTAAGTTAACTTGTCATACTGATGATGTAACTATTTTTTTCATCTTAAGCGGCTGATCAACATGAAGATGTTCGACAAGACGCAGTTATACGCAAACGCCGAGGACTTGGTCGTGTAAACTAGCAGAAGTTTCATCACTGCCCAAGCAACAAATATTCATTGATTTCGCTATCAGTTTTTGTG